GTTCCGAAATAAAGCCAGCTGCTTCCCGGCCCCGTCTCTAGCGGCGGCGACCGCAGGGTTGGCCCCGAAACGCCGCGACTGTCCTGCAACACCCTCCTTGGGGGGTTGTTTTCCCTTCCCCAAAACCCTGTGCTGGTTTTTGGCAGCGTTTTCCGTGGCCGACAGCCGAGCCCCGCAGTTGCAGGCGCATTATCGGTGCGCCAGGTCCTGTTTTCTTGCCGGTGCCGGGCAGAGGGACACCGGTACTGCTGATGCCGAGAGATGTGGTGTAGTTTGCGGCAACGTTTCTTCCAGAGGGTCTGACCTCCCCCTTGGAAGCAAAATTTACCGACGCTGGGGCAGGTTGGGTGTGATTTGCTCCTCTAAAGCCGGAGAAACCCTTTTCTGGGGCTGTACACACCCCCAAGGAAGGTGTTTCTCCCCATCTCAGTTGGTTGGTTGACTCTCAGCACTGTGTTTTGGGAGTTTTGGGGTTTTTTGGGGGTGGGATTAAGTGGGCTGAGACACCCTGGACGAACCCCAGGAGGAGAATTAATGACCGTCCCTTCCCTCAGACTCATCAACGTCACCATCCAGTTCAAGCTGAAAGCCATCAACATCCAAACCATCATCAACAACGAGATTCCCGACTGTTACACCTTCACCATCACCGTGAGTGCGTTGGCACCGTTCCCCGCCTGGGGGGGGGGCGTTGATCCAGCCGGGGTGACAATGACCCTCCTGGACACGGAGGGACCGCCTCCAGGCAGCGTCCCCGCAGCGAGGAGCTCCTGGATGGTGTCACAACCGGTAAGTGTCCCCTTTCTTCCCCAGATCACGTTCGACAACAAGGCGCACAGCGGCCGGGTGAAAATCCGCCTCGACAACCAGGCTGACATCAAGGAGTGCAAAGATCCCAGCGTCTTCGGCCGAGGTAGGAGCCACCAGGGCGTGACAAAGGTGACATCTGTCCCCGGTGGGTGCCAAAGGGCTGCACAGGGGGAGCTCTGAGTGGCTGTACAGCTCGTGAAGAAGAGCCGCCACGCGTCTTGCAGGTGACAACTCCTTCCGGCTGTTCTTTGACGTGGTCGTCATCCTCGTCTGCTCCCTCTCCTTCATCCTCTGTGCTCGCTCCATCATCCGGGGCCTGATGCTGCAGCATGTGAGCGGTGGGACAACGGGAAACGGCGTTAACGGTGTAACCGCTGGGGAACGGGACAAACCCTCCACCGGGATGCTGTTCCGGCGCTACCGGCTTTCGGAGGAAGTCCTTTCCCCACGGGGATGCTCGATCAAAGCTGTGGGTGCTGCAAGACAAGCAAAATTCTCCGAAGGGTGGGTAAAGGACCCTGTTTTGGGTTTTTTTTTTTTTCTCCCCACGCAGGAGTTCAGCCGGTTCTTCCGGCGCCGTTACAACCAGAGCGTGTGCCTGTCGGACCGCATGGAGTTCCTCAACGGCTGGTACATCCTCCTGGTGATCAGTGACGTCCTCACCGTCTTGGGAACCATCATGAAGATCGGCATCGAATCCAAGGTACAGGGACACCGGGGGAGCGAAGCGGAGGTTCTGCATGTCACGGGTGTGCTGGGGCTGTTGGCACTGGTGTCTCCGTGCTCCAGGGAAGGGGACAATTCCTTGTGGCAGGAGATGAGCCACACCACGGTCCCCCCTGGGTGTTGGCAATGCATTGTCCACCCTGGTGAAGCTGTCCTGGGTGCCATGAGGGTGGGTTTGGGGACAGACGTCACTCCCAGGGGTGTTTGCAGGGGGGTCCTGGCCCGAGTGGGACCCCGGAGCCCCCCTTTCCCTTCGGGACGGGGAGATGGCAACCAAGGGACAGGCAGGG